CGGCGGCGGCGGCGGCGGCGGCGTCGTCCCTCATGGGAAGGGAAGGGCCGGTTAAGCGTGCCGAGGAGTTTGGCTCCTCCGTTCATATCGTTGGTGAGGCCACCCGGACAGGTAGGACGTGGACTTCGAGTCGCAGTTCACTGAATAGTCGCGGCCCTCCTGGCCAGTCCCTTGCGCGCTTTTCCCTTCTGTCCCCTCCGGCTGCTTTCTGCGTTTGGCAAAATGTACGCCTGCCCTGCCCTTCCGGTTCTAGGCGGCTTCCCGCGCGGGACGACGCATGGATAAAAGCAGAGACCCCATCACAAACCCCAGTGGATAGGCAGACCTGTTGAAAAGTATAAAGGAAGCTGTGGCTGCCGTCAGAGCACGACTCCCCTTTTAAAGAGGGCTGTTTTTTTGGCGTTTTCCAAGGCAGTCAGGGTGCACTAAGGGGTACGTGCGTGTTTATATATTTCCCCGATGCTATGGAAGGAGGTCAGAATATGTAAGTTGGAGATTGGATTCGATTTTGCATGTGGATATCGGAATACAGATTCTTTCTTAAATTGGAGATTATCCTGTAATCCTTGTACCTGACCTGTGAAATGGGTGGCTGTTATCTTGCTGTAAAACATGAATGAGTTTGAAAACAGGACAGTTAGAAATGCCCCCGCTGAGTTAATGACTGTAATGTGATTTGTTGCTTTACACACTGCACGCAGTTGCTGTGATTTTGAGTAAGATGAACCAAGCTATTGTGTCTTGTTTAGAAAGCTAGGTTTAGAGTCATATGCGTATGGTGGTCTTTCTTGAAAGGTCCTTGGCATCTGTTGTGTGGTTTTCAGAGTTAACATTGACCTGGTTTGGGGCCTGACTCGGTCGTCTTTCTTTCCTTGTTGCAGTGAAGGTGAATGGCCCAACCAGAATGAGAAAAGGAAAGAAAAAAATGCTAAACGGGGAGGAGGAAGTCGCTTTGAGCCATATGCCAGCCCTTCGAAAAGATACCGAGCCTTCATTACCAACATCCCCTTTGATGTGAAGTGGCAGTACCTGAAGGACCTGGTCAAAGAGAAAGGTACACAGCTTGGGTGCGACTGACGGACATCTGCCGTCCTTCCTTGTGACCTCTTTCTTTATCCAGAAGACGTGAATGGGTCTGAAATGGTTTGGGTAGCCGTAGCAATGTTGAGCAAAGAAGGTTTTCTGAGGGCAGGCGCTTCTGGCGTTGCATGCTAGCGGCTGTGCCCTCGCAGGATGCATCCTTTGTGAGCAGGTGTTTGGCACAAAAGCGCCTTTAGACTCTTGGGAGAGGTGAGACTTTTATCGTCAGAGACTTGGATCGAGGTTTTTTGTTTTTTAAATTAGAAGCCCTCTTAAAGCCTTTCTGGATCAATTATCCAGTTTCCATTGGGGAGGAGAGCAGTAGTCTTCCTTGTTGATGAAATCTTGCTTTGTCGTTGAATGCCTAAGATTGTTTTAAGAGTGTGCTCAAGGGAAGGTGGGTTAATTTAGCCACGCCTCATAAATTTACAAAGGGAATGCCTGCAGTGGTTTAGTCTTGTTCAGTCAAAACACTGCTTAGCCTGCTTTAGGATCTCAAAGGTCTTGGCAGGTAGGCATTAGAAAAATCTGGGTGGGGGGTGAGCATGCAGTGTTTTAAACACATTTTCTTTTTTATATTCACCTCAACATAATCATTGGAAGCCACACTAAGTCAACACCAGCATGACTTGACTTGATGCTGAAATAATTAATTTTGTAGTCCTTTTGTGGGAAACGAGTGCAATTGCAATCTTGGTGAGCCTCTCTTAAAACACTTAAACTGGACAAGATATTTGGATTGTGCTTTGAAGCTTAGGGTCCAATGTGTACCTGTGGCTTAAAGTGGAGAAAGACGGCTAACAGGCTTGTGAGCCTAAGGCAAGTAAATGGAATGCACGGCCCCATTTGGGGTGTGTGGGCCATTCATAATTAAGTGTTTAAACCCTCCCCGGGGGATGTTGGTAGCACCAGAAAGCTCAGCAGCACTCATCAGAAATTGGAGTTCCAGTTCTCCTTCTAGCTATGGCTTTGTTTACATTAAATTATGAATGGAACGTTGCTTTGGGGCGTGCCAGTTCTTGACCTATGCTGCGTGTGAAATATTGGTGAATAGGAGTACCTTTGTGCATAGAGGTGTCACCACTTCAAGCACTATGTTGAACATGGGCCATGTGTTTTCTGGCCTTTTTTCTCCAGTTCAAAATCCATCACGTTGGATGCAAAATTCCAATGGGAGGGTTGTTTCCTCTGTTCTTCTGCTCCAGAGGTTTTCCCCTCCAGATGCTCCTAGGAGGAAATGGAGAAATGGCTTCATTCTCTCTGCAGAGAGCTTAGTGATTCTTATGTACTGAGGGGGGTGTTCTTGGAGTTTGTGACTACAGCTCAGGTTGGTGTAACTGGCATCTCTTAAGAGCTGCTTTTCCAGCCTTCTTTGCCAGATGATTCTGGAAACAATCTGAGATAAATCTCATTTGATGGCAGTCACAGTAGTTCCAAGATCCCACATTGTGGTCCTAAAAATGGGTAGAATTCTGGGTTTTGTCTACAAGCACCACAGGGCCCTGGATTCAGGTTTGGAGCAGCAGATCAATGATGAAGGTTACAGACTGCTCTTCCGCCATTCAAGAATTGTGGGATGTTTAAAGCCCGCAGTAATAGTCCTACTGCAAATGTGCCTGTAAGTATACGGTCTAGGAGACTTCAGTGTTGTGGTCTGTTCAGATCTCTCACGGGTGTGTGTGGATGCCTGCCTTGAAATGCTTAATCGTGGCCTCTCCCCTCGGTGAAGTCATTTTAGTCTGATCATTGGTTGGTGAAACTTTAAAGTTACAGGTGTGTAGTATCTTCGTCTTCTTCCTTCAAACTTTGCACCAGTGTTCTTGATACTTTTCCAACCCATACAAATCAGTTAAGATATTTACTGCTGAAAGCATTTGACATGTTGGTGCTGATCATTCATGCAAACAACAACCAACTTTACAGGATGAAAGACGAGACAGACCAGAATATCTGTTTGAACAGCCCACCTAACATAGTTCAGATTGTTTCTTACAAAATTTAAGATTCAGCCTTTCTTAGCTCAGGGTGTAGTTTGTTGTTTTAAGCTTTATCATGGCCCAGACTGGATGGGTGTTTCAGCAAATGGTAGCCGGCGTTGCAGAGCTGGTTAGTTGACCCTCCCCCAAAAACTAGACAGTGTATATTATACTCATATCTTCTCACTTTTTCCATTTTAAAACTCATTTGTAATTTGAGTTCATTGTGTCTGTAGGTCAAAGAGAAATATTTGCCAAGATGGAAATGGAAAAGAAAGAATTAGCGTGGAGTGGTAGCTGGAGCAGAATTCCAGATGTAAATTCCTTTCTTTGCCCACCCTATCTCTTATGGTTATGTAGTGACATAACATTACAATCCTCTCTTCCTCTCTCTCCTTCCTGTTCCCTACTCTCCTGTTTGAGGTTACGAAGGTACTGAATGAGAAGACTTACGACTGGTCCTTGTAGCTGCAGCCGTTGCAGCATCCCTGTGGTCGCATGATCATGATTCGGGCACTTGGCAACCGGCTTGCAATTACAACAGTTGCAGCATCCCACGATCACGTGATCACCATTTGCAACCTTCACTGCCAGCTTCCGACAAGCAAAGTCATTGGGGAAGCTGGCGGGAAGTCGCAAATGGTGATCACGTGACGTCACGCCTGATGACTCTGTGGGATTCGCTTAACGATGGCAACCGGAACTTCCGCAACTGTCGGCGCAGTCACATGATGTTGTGCTTTGCAACAGCATCACTTAGTGACAGAGTTGCCAGTCCCAATTACTGTCATAATGCAAGGACTACTTGTACCTGTTAATAAATGTATTTGAAAATATAGGCTTTTGAAGTGCTGTAGATTAGAAAGGGGAATAAGACATAAAACAAGTCTTAAATGTTTCATGTTTGGGAACAGGAAGTAGCAAGATTAGTTACTTCTTACACTGTGGAATCCAATTCTGCTCAGGACATCTTCCTTGAGGCAGGAGAGACCCTGAGTTTAGGTCCTGCTGTTTAATCAGACTGGCGGTTCTCGTCTGTTCCACTGTTAACTAAGAAAATTGCGAAACTTCTCCATGCGAGTTCTTCACTTTGTGTTCTGCCCATGAGGTGGCAGTGACTCGTATATTAAATTGGGAAGGAAAACGTCAACAGCTCTGGTTCCACAAACATGCTGCACACCTGTAATGTCCAGTTGCGGTGGCTCCGCCAGTGGAGTGTTCCTGGGCTTTCTAATAAGGCAGAGGCTCCAAATAAGGTTGCTGACGACTGTTCTAAATTCCCCTTGTTTTCTTGGCTTTTTCCCTTGGTCTATGTACCGTCTGGAATCTCATTTGTAGTTGGTGAGGTAACATACGTGGAGCTCTTAATGGACGCTGAAGGAAAGTCAAGGGTAAGTTTTTGAGAGCATTTCTTCCGTGGATTTTTACTACATGACAAATATATGTTATGGTGGTGTGGAACCAAATGAATTTGGGCAAGACAGCGTGTATGTGGTAGAGTGGTTCTCTCGTTGGCAGTGCCCCAGAGCTGCTTGGTGGGGGGGAGGGAGGTGGAAAGGGGTCTGCTAGGCCCAGCAGCGCCCCTGCTGCTGCGCTCCTTGGTGTTTGGCTGTATGACTTAAGCATGGATCCTCGTGTACCTTTATTGGTATATTAATGTCCCAAATTTAGCTTAAATGTTTTCGTGTGGTTCTTGTTGCCGACCTTCGTAAGCTCGGTGCGGAAGCAAGGTTGTATAAATGTCAGAACTTTATGGTAGTCTGTGTCTAAATGTAAGAACGAAAGTAGCTGTTTGTGGGCCTTAGTGCTTTTCAGCTCAGTGGGAGGATCTTTCAGCATCTTCCCTGAAGGCCGATTTTGGAGGAAAGTGGGTAGGCGTTGGCTGGCCTAGAGGCAAGTAGGAGTTAGAAGAGTAGAGAGATGTCTCTGAGAGAAATTGGCGTCTGTTCTGCCTATCATGACTTCTGCGTCACCCCTGGCCATGTAGGCTTAGCTTCTGGAACTCAGGTGAACAGCAGTTGTACTGTTGTTTAAACAGCAGCCTGGACCTTGCAGTCATAACCCCAAATGAGCATCTTTTTAAATATCTTTAAGATCCTTCTGCATTTAACTCTTGACTGACTTTCATTTTTCTGTTCCCTTTCCCCCACCCCGTTTTTTGCTGCCGCCTACCTGACTCTCAACTTCTGCGTCATCAGGGCTGCGCGTAAGTAGCTGACCCCTTCTTCCCTGAGTGTGGCTGGAATTGGGCCTGGCAGCCTGGGAGACTCATTGGCCTTGCGTTTTGCCTGCAGTGTTGTTGAATTCAAGATGGAAGAGAGCATGAAAAAAGCTGTGGAGGTGCTCAACAAGCACAGCCTCAGTGGAAGACCCCTGAAGGTGAAGGAGGTAAGCCCCTGAGTCCGGTCACACTAACCGGGGCAGCCAGCGAGAGGTGGCATTCAACTTTGTCCTATGTTTCTCCCTCAACCTTCCTCCAATAAGAGAGCAGCATGTCAGTAAACATGATAGCCTGGAACATTTCCCTTTCTTGCCTAGGGCAGAATTTCTTATTTCTGTGTTCAGCCATATGACATCTCTATTGCTCTTTTCATGATGTCCTGTGACATAGGGAGAATGGGTTTGCAGTTATAATCTCTTGTGAGGGTAAAAAAAGCCATTTCCCTTTTCCTTCCCTTTACTCCAACTGGAAGCTAGAGAGAGAGTATGTCTGCTTTTCACCTTTGGGGTGAAAGAAGAATCTCCTTACTCAGTTTCCTGTCATTTGTAGTAGGAAACCGAGCCCCATTTGGAATAATTTAATGAAAGCCAATTGTGCTGCTAGCTGTAGTCAGTCATCTGTTGTACAGGAAACCAGGCTGTTCAGAAAGTGTCCCCACTCAGAATTGTAGTTGCCTTCATATCTGGCAGAAGCCTTGGTTGCTATAGCCAGCCAAAGCTTTACTTGGTAAAATGCTTAGATTATAAAATGTTACAAACCTTTCTCAGCCCGTTTAATAAAGCTGCTACTTGTGTGTGTTGTGCCGGGGCGGGGGAGTTTGGGTGAGCTCTGGATCGGACTCCCGCAGACTAAAGAATTGGGATGGGAGGCCAAATTCAGCGAGGGCTCTCTACAACCCCAGAGCTCATCTCTGCCCTGCAGAAGAGCAGGTGGCTTAAAGTGTTTTCCTTCCTGTTCTAGGATCCTGATGGCGAGCACGTCCGAAGAGCTGTACAGAAGGCCATGGCAGCCTCTGGGAGTGGGATGGGCATTAGCCCTGGCCCTGGGGGCCCTGGGATGATTAACATCCCGCCCAGCATTCTCAATAACCCCAATATCCCTAACGAGATCATTCATGCCCTGCAGGCCGGCAGGCTGGGCAGTACCGTCTTTGTGGCCAATGTAAGTTGCCTCTGGCCTCTCTTTGCAGTTTGTGTTCAGAATTTGGTCCTTGGAGCTGAGAAGAGGGTCATTTTCTTTCTTAGTCTCTGGCAGAAATGAAATTAGCCCGGTGCAAACGATCCTGCCTCTTGCCTATTGAATAGCAAAATATATTTTCTAAGCTGTTGTTTATTTCGGTCATGGTTGTAAAATATAAAACATCGTTTACAAGCAGTTATCTGGGACACTTCTGTGCCTGTGGATGCCAAGGAATTGGACAGAGTCCTCTGTAGTCCTAATGTTCCACTCGTGGACTGGCCTCCTACCCCAGCCGACTGATCAAAGTGGTCAGGGAGAGTACTGGGAGTTGGATCCGGGTGGTAGTCAATGCATCTTTGAGAGAAGGGGAGTTAGAAGTCCTTAAGAGGCTGGTTCATCCACTCCTCAAGAAGCCAGGCAACAAGTTGGACAACTCCTGTCCTATCTCTAATAGTATCCGGATCCCTGGCAGTCTGGGTTCAGACCTGGGCATGGGATGGAAACCACAATGGATGGCTCTAGTGGATGACCTTTGGCAGGGCTTGAATGGAAGTGGCACAATCATCCTTGCCATACTAGTTTTCAGTGACTTTTGTTACTGTTGGCCACAATCTCCTTCTGGAGTGCCTGTGAGGGTTGAGAGTTCCGCTCCTTCCCAAGCAGATGGATCCAGAAGGCCATTCTGGGAGGAGGTAGTGGTCGGATCCCTGGGCATTTTGTTATGGAGTGACTCTTGGTTCAGTCCTCCCCCCTGTCCTGTTCAACATTTATGTGAAGCCATTGGGAGACTCATCCACCAGTTTGGGGTGAATTATCAATATCTGTTTCAATTCATATGGCCACCCATCTCAACAAAGTGACTACAGGTGGCTGACAGTGATTAAGACCAAAACAAATATATGGCCAGCAACCAAAATGAATAACAAACAGCCCTCAGTACGACAACCTCACAGGCTCCAACTGCTATTCTGGCCCCCATGACTGAGAACACATATGCAGACATGGCTGTTGATTCAGATGATTCCAGGAGTGTATCACCTTTGACTCTTCCCCGGGAAAGGCCAAGCTTGCAAACTGGGGGTGCTTCTGGACACAGAGCAGGTGGAGACCATGGCCGGGAGGGCTTTTGCACAGCTTTGGCTAGTCTGCCAGGTGCAGCCTTACCTGGAAAAAGATGCACTGAAGATGGTCACTCACCCCCTTGTCATCTCTCAATTAGATTACCATGACTTATGGGGCTGTATTTTGGTCTTGCGAAAGCAGGGGAAAACATGGTTTGGGGACTGACTGACCAGCTACAGGCAGCTATATTTATTAATTTATCATATTGCCACAATTCGCTCCTCGTGGGGGGGCAGCTTGAGGTTGGCTGTTCTCAGTGGCAGCTCCCTCCTCTGGAACAGCTTGTCCCCTGCAGCATAGATATCCCCCAGCCTCTTGATCTTGTGAAAGCAGGGGAAAACATGGCTGTTTCGGAGGGCCTTTGGGAATAAATATATTGTGATGCTGCTTCTTAATTTTATAATGTTCTGTAATTTAATCATGAATTTTGAATTTGTATCTTTTACATTTTACATCATACTAAGTCAAAAATGAAAAGTCAAAAATAGTTTGTAATGATTGTGAATCCTTTGATAGTTTGCTAATATAGATTACCTCTTTGAGCTGAACAAACATGGCTGCCACATTCACGGGTACCCCTGGAGGGCATCTGTAGGAGTCAGCTCTTCTAAATTGGAAGGAAGGATGGCTTAACCAGTAGCACATAGCAGTAGCAGCCTTTTCTTGTTCAAAATCCTCTTTTAAAGAGCCCCTGTCACAGACAAGCAACAAACATGTCTTGATAACAGCAGGTTCCTGGACTTGGGGCGGCTGTCTAAGTTCAAAAGTATGTTTGGCATTTAAACTTTAAAAAGAATGGTGCTCTACACATTCTTGTAATTCTCTTTCCCTCCAAATGAATTTACTGGAGAAGTCTAGGCAGGAATATTTACAGATAGTCCTCGCTTACTGACCACTCATTCAGCGACCATTTGAAGTTATGACAGTGCTGAATAAGGAGATTTATGACTGGTCCTTGAAGTAGTGGCCATTGCAGCATCCCTGCGGTACACAATCACAATTTGGGTGCTTGGTGACAGTCGCAGAGTCTCACAGTCACGTGATCACCATTTGTAACCTTCATAGTTGGCTTCTGACAAGCAAAGTCATTGAAGAAGCCGGCAAGAGGTCACAAGTCATGGTCATGTGACAAGCTTAACAACTATGAGTGATTTGCTAATGACTGCAACTGGAACCACCATTGTAAGTTGGTCATGGTCATGTGATTTTTCACTTTAAGACTGCATCACTTAGCGACAGAGTTGCCAGTCCCAATCGCGATTGGTAAATGAGGACTATCTGTATTAAAATCCTCTATTTGACAAAATCTCCCACAGAGTGTGATTTAGCCCCAGCTTTTGCTAATTCTAGATTGAAGCTATCTTCCACCAACACTGACCTTTCTGGAAACTGAAAGTGCAGATGAATCAGCCTGGTAGCCCAGAACCAATGTGGTTCTGTTGAAGATTTTCATGGAGAGATGGCCTTAGCAAAAGGCAGAAGAAATAGTGCTAGTGAAACCGCCTCATTGGTTACAGTGTGGGCAGATCCTGTTCATCCTTGTCTTTGTAGGAGGCGGCTCCTGGGGCTGATTCCCAGTGGGGCAGGCCCAGGGGCCCATGGAAACAGAAGTAGGGTTAATTTGGACAGTTTCATTCTAAGTATGATAAACGCTAGACGTGTGTTTCTTACTGTGAGAGATTGGGAAGGGATGTTGCCTGTTGAGAGGGCAAGACTGTTAGCAGCTCATCTCAGACAGCAGCTTAGCCCAGATGGTAAGAAATCAGTGAAGAAGCGTTTCAGATCCTTCACTTAATTAACTCACTCCAGTGAGGGCAGGAAATTCTTCTTAAAATTTCCAAGATACTGTATTTATGCCAGAGTAGCATCAGTGATAACCTACTGGCTTGCCAGCTCCAGGGCTTGACGCGTGATATGGTCTTCTGGTTGCCTGGACAGAGCCACCAAAATGTGATCCTCATTGAGTTTTCATGATAAATGTTGCTCCATGGTACTCTTCTCCTGTCTCTTCCTTCAGCTGGATTACAAGGTGGGCTGGAAGAAGCTGAAGGAGGTGTTTGGCATGGCTGGTGTCGTCGTCCGTGCAGACATTCTGGAAGACAAAGATGGAAAGAGTCGTGGGATTGGCACAGTCACTTTTGAGCAAGCGATTGAAGCTGTCCAGGCGATCTGTATCCTTTTTTTGGATTACTCTAGAATAATGATCTGGGACTGGGATCTGGTATAGTTGGAGTACAATTGACTTATTTGGTGGGTCATCTGCAGAAGGAATTGGAGGTTTACACTTGGATTTAGCCTTCCTCTCAGGCAGCCCTTGCCATCTGGGTGTCCTTTACTTGTCATTCATTTCCCCAAAATCCCACCAAGTGTAGCCTGTGAATCTCATCTTTGAGGTCTACGCTGGCTGGAAATTCTGGGAGTTGAAGTTCCTTACACTGGGGAGCTAAAGCTTCCCAACAGTCCTTTTGTTCACAACTCTCTTCTGAGGTTAGGTCGTGGCTTGTTCATCCAGTGTGCTTCTGGCCAGGATGGGGATCTAATTCCCGTGTTTGCGTTATCTTAGGTGTTTCAGGAAGAAGCTGCCGACCCAGTTCACCCAGGTTTGGCTTCTGAATAGCTAATGTTCTCCCTTATCTCCCTAGTGCAGTTTGACACACATTTCAGCATGCAAGCACCAGCTTGGCATGGCTGCACGTTTCAGGGCAGTTGAGCAACTTATTTTGCAAAAACAAAGTTTTTTTCCTATCCTAGCCGGTAGTGAGGCTGAACTGAAGCCCCCATGAGATCAGCTGCAATGATAAATGTTTGTTTTGCTCCTCAGTTCCTTACTTGGGGAATGGATCTTGCTCTCCAAAATCACTTATGAGAGTCAATCTGTAGAAACAGCAGTTGAGGTGGGAATTGCCATGATGGATCTCCTGACTCTGCTTGGTCCTACATATCCCCCTGCAACAATCTCCTGAGGCTGAAAACTAGCATGGGGGGTGGGGGGCAGCTGATATTGCAACCTGTGTTACTGACCAGTTTTTGTGCCTATGTTGGGGGGTTTCAAGTGAGTGGGGTTCCCCTCAGTGTGCCCCATCTTCTGCCTGACCCTAACCCAGTAGAGTCTCCCCTCTTGTCTTCTGTTTTGGAAAGTGACTTAATGTTCAAATTGTCCAGTGCCCCAACAGTCCTCAAAAGGGGCATCAGTTTTGTCTTCCCCCCTCGCTCTCCAGAGAGGGTGGTGGTCAAAGGCCAGAGGGGTAGAAAATACCTGAAAAGGGAGGTGAATTGATGAAAATGTAAGAACGGGGCAGGTTCTAGCAAGCGTCGCCTAGAAAGGGAAAATGAATCTGAGCAGAGGAGGAAAGACACAGTTTGTGCTGCATCTCTTGGGGTCTCCATTTGGCCAACATGTGACCAGAACGCCTTGACGAAACCGCTAGCCATGTTCAACGGGCAGCTGCTCTTCGACAGGCCGATGCATGTCAAGATGGTGAGTAAGGGGTGGTTGCCTGTGCGCATCCCCTCCTGGTCTCCCCCCCCCACCCCCCGACACCCACACATTAAGCTCCTCTCTGTTTCAGGATGAACGAGCGTTGCCGAAAGGGGATTTCTTCCCTCCGGAGCGGCCCCAGCAGCTTCCTCGTAAGTCCTCTTACAGCTCAGTGAGGAAGTGGCACATGGTTGTGCTGGAGAGAAATTACTTCCGAAGCTGCTCTTTTCCTCGTGGGTGGAAGGCGTTTTGCAAAATCTGTTAGACTGATATCCCACCGTTAGTTCAGGGACCCAGGCGGGATACATTTAAGGCGCTTTGGAACTTGGAGAACGCCTGTGTGGGACCCCGCGGGCGTCAGAGCTTTGAAGTTGCTTGCAAGCTTTCATTGAATTAAGTAAAAGGGTCTTATTAAAATGAAGCGTTTTAGAGAGTTGTTTTTAACAAGATGGGAGGTGACAAATTTGATACCTAAATAAAATTTTAAAGATTAAAATGAAACAAACTCTGGCAAATTGCGTGCCCAGACTGTCTCCCGGGACGTTGGAAGTGGTCTACGCTTGCGGATAGTGGATCCGAGGCTCTTTTCTGGCCTTGCTTGGGAATACGGACAGCCCAGCTTTTGATACTGAGACATGGCTTCTTGCAGTCATTCAGCCAAGAACAAGCACGCCTTCAAGTGTCTTCTTGGCACCTTCACAGGGGTATACTTGTGGCTTTCTGTGCCTGGTTTGTTTCTTTATCAGACTTATGTGGCCGCCCATCTCACAAGAAGCTACTCTGGGCAGCCCACAACAATTAAATAATAAATATATAAAAACAGTCAGGCCTGATGACATAGCCAGGTCTTGAGGGACTTATGGAGCATTAACAGGGATGGAACTAGTTTCTTCCTCAACCTGTAATAGGGCTAGATCCAGGCCAGGGGTGCCTGCAGGAGGGGGTAAAAAAAGTTACGATAGCCACAACCATGCAATCCAAGCCCCCTCCCCTTTAATGTGCATGACATGGTTCTGGCCAGCATCCTGACTTTTTTGAGCCCCTTCCTATGGGCACCACTGATCCTGACTCATTTCATTGTGTAGATATCAAAACAAATGCACACAGTCATCCGTAGTTAGCTTACGTCCCATGGGAATTAAATTGTTAGGATAACGTTAGGATAATGTAGCATGAGAGGTAGTGGTAAAATAGTAAGCAAGCACTTCAGGAAAAAAAAGATTGAAAAGCTTTGAATTTGCTTGAATTCAACACTTCAGTTTATGAAGAATGCACTATTTGAACACAAGTATATTTATTTTATTTATTTATATATCAAATTTGTCACCGCCCATCTCACCAAAAAGCGACTCTATATATTTTAAAAGGTCAAATGTTGACTATTAGAAACTTACGTACCTTGATTTTGAATTGTTTCTGTAATGCATGTACAGTTGGCATTACCATTGTGTAAACTTCAGTGGCTTTAAATGATATTTGAACATTTAAAACCATACAAATTTAAGAAACATAAACGTTCACATTAAAATAACCTGATGTAATAAGTCCACTTCCTTTGTTAAAAATGTTAAATGTGCAGAATCAGATCTCCAGCTAATCTGAAACATTAGAAAATATTCCAGTTCAGAATCTTTCAGAAAATCTACCTCAAACCTAGCATGTTTTCTCTGTTCATGGGAGGAGGTCTTTAGTTAAGGAGGAAAAACCTTGACCCTTGTTGCCATTATGTTTATGAAGATTCTCAGTCATCCAGGTGGAATTGTCTGGAGGTTGAGTCATGGCAATTGGACTTCTTTTCTT